CTATTTTAAAATTGATTAAAAGTATGACTTATTTTGCAATAAGACTTATTTTACAATATCGTAAAATACAGTAGAATAAATAGGACATGAACGTTTTCATTATGTATAAAGATAATTATGTTATAAAAAGTGTTTAGGTTATATTATAAAAAATCATTATTTAGGTTGCCTAGTTATAATTAAATGAGATAAAATGCGCACTAAAACTTATGTAGATTTTAGACTAGTGTCGCACTCTGTCGGTTGATAGAAGCAAAGTGTAATTTCACACTTGCCGATCTACGAGAATCGTTCCGATCACCTCTACATAGTTCACGTGAAAAATAATAGATGTCGCTACTTGTACTTGGAATTTATATATTTTTTTCTTTTCAGGTAATTAATAATTTTCATTGAAGTAAAGAGAACACAAATACAACTTTTAGATGTGGATTCTAATGTCGTTTAAAAAGGTATGTTTTTTTATTTAATACTTAATATTATTTTGATATAAAAATAATATAAACGCGTAATTAGTTATTAAACTATAAAGCATCAGTGTTAGATTTTTATTCAGTGGGAAATATTAAAATCTAAATTTGAGTACTCGCAATAAGTAATTTTTATCGAAATATAGAGATATATATGTTACATAATATTGGAGATAATACTGTTAAGATAAAAAAATAATCTCAAAAATCAATTCATAACTGGCAAATATTGTCGAAATCATAAAAAAAACTAGAGTTTTTTAAGTAGCTTTAGATGTCGTTAAGTTTGTTAATTGTGTTTTTGTCTGTAACTAAAATACTACATCATATTTATTACTTGTCTACAACGGTTTACACGACTAAATTTCAGTTGGTATTCTTTGGTAATGCAAATTAAAGCTAGTGATGCCTACGTGACATCTAGTGACTAGATACTACGATGTATATATATAATATAAGAAATTAATTGATAATTACTATATCTAAATAGGTGATAATATTATATCAATGATTTTATTATTATTATTTTTTTATCTGCGCCAAGTAAATAGTCTGCGTAAAAAATAAATACCTATCTATTGAAACTTCTTTAGAATATGTGTATAGGTGAATTTACATCGAGTACGTTCCTTGCATAATAAGTAAATAGGCGCCAATAATAATGAAGTAGCTGGGAGGAGAGATTTTTACTAATACGGATGTCAGTGCCCATTGCTAGCAATATACACTGCCAGGTTGACCTCCACGCGATCCCAGGAAACCATGATCTTCCTACCCTAACACCACTATTTATTTGGGGTTGGCGTAATATGTTTTTCTCTTCTGTCATTCTCTATTCTCAGTCATTTCCACAATCACTGTCATTCTGGCCATATACTCGTAATTTTTCACACAGTCCTCCCATGTCTTTTTAGGCTTTCCTCTGCCCTTGTTCCTTATCCACATTCTTACTTAATACCTTTTTTCAAAACATGTTCCTTGTGCCTGCGCGTCAAGTAATCTCTTGTTCGTGATCAATTACCTAGTAGTTTCCCATAATGGGCCAATTGATCTGATTTCATCCCTCACTTGTCGTTACTCACTGGTGCCTCGCCGACCGTATTCGTGCTGGTGGAAAGGGATTGTTAGCAATGGTGTTTGACAGCCCCATTGCTAGCAATATGCCCTATTAGGTTGACTTCCACGTGGTTCCCCCTGAAAACCATCGTGAACAATTCTTGTTGAATTCCTCACGATGGGCTAACTGACCTACTTCATCCTCACCTATATCATCCCTCACTGGTGCCCCGCCGGTGTATACCGATAGCGCGGGTAGGGTTACCATTCCATTATCATCCATTAAAAAAAACCGTACTCGTGCGTATTCCAATAGCGCAGGCGGAGTTGCCATTCTATAATTATTTTATAAAAAAAACCTTTATAGTTAATTCTTGATGAATTCTACATGATCCTCCAATTAAATGTATTCGATTAGAAGCTTATCATTCCCTAATAGTTTGCGTGAACTAATAGAACAGATGGCTTTTTTTTAATGGATAATAATGAAATGGTAACCCCGCCATCGCTAACGGTACGGCTGGGGCACAAGTGAGGGATGATAGGTAATAATGAAAAGGCTGGTCAGTTAGCTCATCGTGATGAATACACTTGGCATTCAGCACGATAGTTTCCAGGGAGGATCACGTAGAGGTCAACTTGACAGAGTATATTAATAGCAATAAGACTGGTAGTTCGCATTACCTAACAATAACAAAACAGATGGTTTTGACATTCCAGTTTCATCAATAAAAAAAACTTTTTTATCATCAGAATATTATTATATAATAGGACAGATAAACTATCTCTACTAGGGGGAGAAGGATTGTTAGTAATGGAAACGTGAACTCCCATAGTTATCAATATACTCTGTCAAGTCGACCATTTGAAACCATTGTAATCAGAATTGTTGCTGAATCCGTCGCAATAGACTAACTGACCTGCTTTCACCCTTTGACCTATCATCCCTCACTAGCGCAAACGAGGTGGCCATTCCATTATCATCCATTAAAAAAAAAAAAAACTGTCTCTACCATTTGCTGCATTATAAAAATATCTAGATAGAGAATATCTGTACTCATCTCTATTTATGGACATATCTATATATATAGAGAAGAGTTATTATAAAATTGTAAATTCCAATATCTTAAACCTGTTTTGAATTACACAATCAAAACAAATAATTTTGTTCGTAGAAAAAAATATAATTAGATGTTGGTTATTAAGGTGAGCAATATCAATAGAGCAAAAACAAACATACTAATAATATGTATGTAGTAAAAAAAGGAATTATTGAAAGTAATCAACGTACTGCTTCCTGTTCGTATGTTTGTGGGTTCCGTATTTATTATTTTATTACTGGGCTATTTAAAAATAGAACTGTAAAGTTTTTTTTTTATTTATTTCTGGTGCACCAAGCAATGATGGTATTTATTACCCAACCAAATTAAAAAGTTTATATTATCCATAAACTTAGTATAACGTACTTACATTTTATAATCTAAGATATTATCTTAAGGTTAAATTGCTTTTTTTAACTTCAAAAGGAGTACCCCGACTTGATAAGATGCTTAGTAGATAGTTTTTTAACAAACTTCAAATAAAGAGAAGATTTAATTTAGTTTTACTTTTAATGTTTACTAACTCAGAATTTATAATCCATCATATATAATCTGATTTGGAAAATTCCTTTTTTATCTTAAAGAATATATTTTCTTATTGTTACTATAGAAATTTTACCAAAATCGATTTAGTCGTTTAGTTCTAAAATCAAAGTAAATAGTTTTGTTACTATTCAAGTTGCTATTTTTTTCTTTTGTGAAAGTAAACCTCCAATTCAAAGTAATGGAAGATTTTGATTAACAAGATTAATGATATACAATAAAAATATATATTTTTCCTTTTTTTTTTATAATAATATTTTGACTTACCTTCTTTCGTCGTATACGGAATCTTTTTCTATAATTAGACAACACACACTTCACTGGATTTTTTTAACAGGCCAGCACATGCCTATTATCTATCCACTAGGGTTTAATTAATCATGCTTCTAATTAATAACTTAGACGTTAATTTAATATCACGCTATATACTCGTGAAAGGAGTGGAGCTTTATAAAAATAATGTGTATGGTTTATGGATGGAATGGATGAAAAATAATGGAATTATTATAATATCATGCATAATTTACCAGTTTTATCGCCTTCAAAAGGGCACATGTACTCTCAGCCGTGTGATCCCGGCATAGAATGGCCCATCCCTTCCTGTCGCGTAAGAGGCGACTGAAGGAATTTTATGGTTGAGAGATGGCCAGCAGTGTCCCTCTTAAAGCATTATCAAAGCCTAACTGCTGTTACCAATCCGTCGAAAAGCGTGGCAACTACTGGCAAACCCTCTCTTATGGGCGCAACCTGTTTTTTTTATGGGTGAAAATGATATGGTAATCCCGCCTGCGCTAACGGAATACGCTGGCGGAGCACCAGTGAAGGATGATCGATGAGAATGAAAACAGGCCAGTTAGCCCATCATGATAAATTCATCAGGAATTAACCATGATAGTTTCAGGGGGAACCGCGAGGAGGTCGACCTGACTGGGTATATTGCTAGCAATGGAATTCTCAGTCTCCATTACTAACAATCCCTTTCCCCCACGACCTATGTTTTGCTGTGGGCAGTTAATGGCTGATATGTACTTTCAGACACTTCTTTGCACGTAGCTGATATTCTGAAAAATTCTGGGACGGGAGCTTTCATCATAATCATCATCATTATCCAACCATATTTGTACCAGCTACTTAAAGGCAACGATGAATGATGAAATAGATTTCTTCACTCAGAAACTTTTAAGAGGCAACTATGGGATAAGAATATGGTAGAGTGATACCCAGATTGGTGAAATATTTAGTTAGCCATGAAAATTCAGCAAAAAGACAATATACATACCTTCAGCAAGAAGATATACCTTATTTTTTTTTTTACTACATTACTATAGATAATGGCTTATCTAGATTGGTTTTTACGATTCCGTTATTCCCCTTGTTGACTTTGATATTATACTTTGATAGTACGTGTGTGTTCTACCAAAAAAAAAAAAAAACACCTACTTCAATTGTGGCCAAAGCTGTTATTTTGATTTAAGAACTAAACTACTGAACTGTTTATGATGAAATTTTTATGGAACCTATCTGAGAGTATATCCTTTTAGATTAAAAAGTGGTAATCGATTTTTGACTGGCCGAATTGTGATGTAACATAAAAAACACAAGCAAAATTAGAACCTCTTTTTTTGAGGTCGGTTCAAAACCAGCCTTTAGTAGATAAGTAACTGAGTATCGTAAATCTCGTGATAATGAAAGAGAAGGAGGTGATCGATGTAAGTCCTCTATAAGGAAAAGAGGGTATAACCAAATCTTTCTGAAGGGACTATGGGACTTTGATTATCCCTTATAAAGATTTGATTATAGTTTTGATAATATTAAATAATAATTGAAGCAATACTTATGAAACTTTATAATTATTATTTTTTTATATATAGTAACATTTTTATCAGTAGAAAATTAAATTAAATTAAAAAATCACCATCATCTATTTTTGTTACTGTTTCTCCGCATCTTCTCTTTCTTCCTCTATTTCTTGGGTGATAGAATTGATAATTTCTTGCTCCAACATATTTACTGGCTGGTTTCTTTTTATAACGGCCACCTATAATAATATTTTGAAAAAAATATATTATATTTCTTTTTATATTTTTTTCAAAGACTTAATCGAACGATTTCTATTCTAAAAAAAAAACATAGATTTATATTTGGAATTCATTCAAAATTGCCAAAAAGAGATTTAGTGAAATCTAAATCTTTAAAAAATATCACAATTTCTTGCGCAATAAAATAATATCCTACGAAAAATTAGTGTTCAAATGTCTTCTTTGCCAATTTTGAATTATCTACAGAAAGATTACAGCATGGAGTTCTTCAAAAAAAGGGGTAAAGTGGTTTCTTCGGCAATGCGCGCGTAATGTCCCTGGTATTACAGGCGTTCATAGGCTATGGTAACTGCTTACCATGAGATGGATCGTTTGCTTGTTTGCCACCTGAATGGTATAAAAAAAACCTAGTTCTGTTCTTTTTATGAAGAGTGGAACATTTTGATGTTTGGACCTCCAAAAAAAATAAATACTCACATCTATATTTCTTTGCCCCGACCGCACCACTTCAAGTAAACATCTGATGGCCAGTTTAATTGCTCCTTTGTCGGTAGCCACAACTCCTGGTGTGTAGTTTTGTTCTAGAAACTCCCTGGTCGTCTTGTCACATCTTCCTGTAGAACAAGCCTGACAGATAGAATGGAAAACTGTTAAATTCAAATATCAGCGGTAGACACATTGCTTTGGGTAATAAGGACCCATATTTGATTCTGTGTCGGGTCAATTTAGGAAAGAAGAAATTGTACTCTGTTATGTCCATTATATTGCCCTTGTCTACAGGCGACGGTTACCGTTTACCATCAGGTTGGCCGTCAGCTTATTTGCCATTTATATATATATATATATATATATATATATATATATATATATATATATATATATATATATATATATATATATATATATATATATATATATATATATATATATATATATATATAATGATAGCATCCATTGAATATTGAATATAAGCCTCTCGTAGACTAATGAAATGGTTAAAGTAGATAAAAAATCTTTCATATAACTAAGAAACACCCATTCTTTTATAAACTTGAATAGCACCATGGACCTCATAGACGAAGCTACGAATTTAACCTTTGACCTTACTGACTTTTGTTACGAAATACAAAATATTTAAAGTACTAACTATTGCTTTTGATAACCACTTTGAAATGGCGTATTAAGATTGTATTTCACAAAAAAAAAACCGACTACAGTTATGGTAAAACTAGTTATTATGATTTAAAAACTATATTAGTAAACTTATTTTACTAAAATTTGTTTAAACCCATCCGTAAATATATTCTTTCAGATAAAAAAAAAATTATAACTGACGGAGTTATGAGATAACAAAAATAAAAAAAAAATACAATCGAATTAAGAACCTCCTTTTTTTTATGGTAAATAGGTTGATAAAAAATACTAGATTCAAAATATGACCTTTAGGAAACCAATTATAAAAATCACATCTATTTTTGATACAATAGTTTTTGTATGGTTTCGGATCAGACAGACAATTTTAAAAATTGTAATTTCGCCTTTTGTTGTTCTTATTTAGACCAACAGAATAGACCTCATTCGATTTTTTCTTAAATATTCTTTATGTACAAACATTGACAAGTTATAAATTTATTATGTTAATATAATTTTAAATAAATTCATTAAATTGTTTACCTTCCACTCATAGTAGATTCCAGAAGGTTCTGTCTGGAATAGATGTGGATTGCCGTCATAATCGAACCCTCCAATAAGGCAGGATAATCCAAAAGGTCTCCTTCCATTGCTCTGCGTGTGTTGCTGTTTCATCTCAGCTATATATCTGGTTATATATTCGATAGTAACAGGATCTTCGACGGTCAGCCGATGGGACTGGCATTCTATTTGAGCTCTACAATTTCAGATGGTATTATTAATTAATTTCTCATATACATAGGTACTGATCGGAATAGACCAGGACTAGAATGTTTACTATATTTTTTTTTTATACAACTTAGAATGGCAAACAAGCTGACGGCCCACCTGATCGAAAGTGGTAACCGTCGCCTATAGACATGAGCAGTACCATGGACATAACAGAGTACACCTATCCCCCGATTTACACGGTAGATACGTTCCTGAGAAAAACGTGTAAATCGAAAATTAAAAATTTTCAAGTCAAAACCGTGTAAATCGAAAAGCTTGCAGAAAATGCATAATTTTGCTATTTAAAAGTTGTGATTTTATTCAATATTTTTAGGTGTACACAGAAATAAAAATAAAATGCATTGACAGGTTAAAATATGTAATATATTACGAAAACACTGTTTTTTTATTTAATTACAATACATTAAACAGAAGAACAAAAAATAAAACCAAAGGTGTTTTATTATCCTTCATCACTATTAGAAATTACTCTCATTCTTTTTTTTGGAATCGAAGGTTGGAATTCACTTTCATCACTCGAAGTTATTTGTGCCGATTCAATGTTTGAAGCAGAAATATTTACATTCTGAGAGGTGGTAATAAAATCGGTTATTATATACCCATACTAATAGTATTGCCAGCTGCAACACTCTTTCTAATTGTGTTTTCATTTGTTCTAATAGTTCTTATTGTAACTTCGTTCATGTTATACGATTTTGCAACATCTACTACTCTATCTCCCTTTCGTAAGCAATCCAAAATTTCGATTTTAGTTTCTAAAGAAATAACTTTTCTTTTAACTTCTTTCGACATTATAAGCCTATTTTTTTTTTATTTATGTTAATTTATAAAAATCTTAATTATGCACTCACTTGTAATTTACGAATATGAAAAATTAAATCTTTCTGACACTGTGATACTTTTACTGAAATACAATTTTCCGTAGATAAAACTTTAATTTTATGCGAAGAAATACAGACACAGTGTGCATGTGCAGCAAGTCAGCACATAAGCTCGGGATTCCCCGTGAGATGTGTACAGAGCGCACGTGTTCAAACACAGTAGCATTTAGTAGAGTGCGATAAAACAAAAAAAAACTTATTTGGAAAACCGTGTAAAAGCGAAAACGTGTAAAACAAGTACCGTGTAAATCGGGGGATAGGTGTATACTGTTTCGCCCATGATACCCCCCATGCGTTGCCATTCCTGAGGACTCAGGTGTTATTCCTCTGTACCCTGTAGATTCACGCCATATCCCACCATTCAAACCGAAACACAGCCATGCATACACAACTGCTTCACGGTTGAAACACGAATGGGACAGAGGTACCCAAGCAATCAACTTTTGTACAAAGTCTCCCTCTGGTAAAAGTCTATTGTAAAATCTAAACCAATTTTGTTTCTGTCGTATCATATTGAATTGGGATATATCCTGTAAAGACATGTTGACCAAAAAATAAAATAAATGTTTAATCCTGTCGAAAATATCCAGAAAAAAAAAATTAAAAAGAAGTGAAAAGGAGTAACAACTCTTCTTGCATAATGGTGCAAATTTTCATCATAACATTGAATGGCCAAAAATTATATAAAAGACCAAGTTCACTTTAAGTTGATCATGTGTGGATACCTTTTTAATGTCCATTGCATAAAACAAAACATAGCTGTCAAATTTATTTTTTTAACCAATTTTCCTTTAATTTTTAACAGGAATTATATCACTATGATTTATTTAACCAATAAAAAAAAATCATTCAAAGAAGGGTTAATCTATGCCAAGCCTATAAATAGTATCTAGGGGACGGAGAAAAGGGATTGTTAGTAATAGGGTTTAACAGCCTCATTGCTAGCAATATATTCTATCAGAGCGAACTTCACCCCCTGAAATTCTTGTGGAATCGTCACGATGGGCTAACTGACCTGTTTTCATCCTCACGTATCATCTCTCACTGGTACTCCGCCAGTGTATACCGGTAGCGCCGCCTGCACTATTATGGCTGTATTATATTATCTATTATAATGGATTACCATCATTTATTATCCATTAAATACAGTATCTAAGGGCTAATACAAAAATTCACTACGTTGTCGCAAACTTAGCTACTTAGTAATCAAATATATATTTCTCAGTAACATAAAATACACGACTTTAACAAGAATTATAGCCTGTATCATTTAAGATGATTAAGGATTCTAACAATACCCCATACATTTATATCTAATTAGGGATTTAGAAGTTATCTTCATTACATAGTATAAAACAAAGTCGCTGTCGCTGTCTGTCCGTCCCTATGTATGGTTAAATCTTTAAAACTACGCAACGGATTTTGAAGAGGTTTTTTTTAATAGATAAAATGATTCAAGAGGAAGGTTTACATGTATAATACATGCATAATACAGTAGAGGAACACTGATAATTTTAGAGGTTTCTAATGTGATGTGATGTAATGTGCACCCGTGCGAAACCGGGGCGGGTCTCTAGTAACTAATAAAGAGGAAAAATTTAATGTTTTTTTTTTTTTGTATTGGATGATCTCAAAACTACTCGTACTTAAACGATTTTAAAAATTGTTTCGACTATAGAAAGCTACATTATCTTATAGGAGGCTGTAATTTCAAAATAATTAAAGATTGTGTCCCACAAAAAATCGACTTCATCTGTGATAAAACCAGTTATTTTGATCTAAAAACTAAACTACCGAAACGATTTTGTTAAAATTCCTATTGGACCAATCTCTAAGTAGCCTTTCAGATAAAATAAATCCAAATCGCTTTACAGCTGACAGAGTTATAAAGTAACAAACTTAAAAAAAATACAATTTAATTGAAATCCTTCTTCTTTTGGAAGTAGTTACAAAAAATAATTATATTTAAATACCCGTGCGAAGCCGGGACACGTTAGTTGTGCAATATACAAACTTACGCACACGAAGCCTGAAAACTTAGCTTTTTGACAATTGTGTAAATAACTAACCTAGATATTAGCACTCTAGCATCAGCCCTCAATCCAGCAAACACCAACGTAACATGCTCGTCCAACAAAACAATCTTCTTCTCGGTTCGTTCTTCCTGAAGTTTTGCAACGGACTTTTTCTCCACAGCCAGAACTATCACATTGTCTCCCCTTATACCCACGGCTGCAGAACCTCGCCTGGTTGCTTCCTGAGCGTATTGCACTTGCAGCAATTGTCCATCTGGTGAGAATACTGTGATCGCTCGATCGTAAGTGTTCATTGTAAGTTATCGAATAAAAAATAATAGAATTTTGACAATTGTTTATGGTACTCAAAATCTGCTTTTTTACAACTTAGAATAGCAAACAAGCTAACGACCCTCCATCAGATTAATTACTATTGTTATTCAATATCTCTGGGCCCATATTATGAAAAAAAAATTAGATTCTAGTTCTCTAATCTATGATAATTTTTTAAAGCATTGACTCTGAATCTAAGAACTAAAATGTTTTTGTACTGAATTTATATATAGACACATGGCAGCGTGTCAAGCCAAGTCATTCCAAAAACTCGCAACACACCAGCCGTGTGTAATATTACACGCACACGAACGGGATATTTATTATGTTTTTCATGATCTATTTCATTGTTCATCGTGTATTATCTTGACAAAATTAGTGTACACGAGAAAACCTTTTCGATTAAAAACAATATCGGTCCAAATATAACAAAGATATCGTGTAATGTAAAACATATATTCTGTTGAGAATCTTCACCTTTTGAAGTCGCATTAAAAATGTCTCGAAACTTAAGCTTGTCTGTTACAATATATAATTTCTGTGATATAAGTAATAATTTTTGAATAAGATTTTAGAATTATCAGTCGTCAAATTCAATCACCAAGTGATTATTTCATTCTTGTGTATATTTCACGTCTTCGTAGTGGTCCAAGATCCTCCTGTAATTCTGCTCCATTTAAACTTTCTGTCATAGAGTTAGATCTTTTAAAATTCAAACTGTTAGATAAATCAACAACAAGAAACTGGAATTCGTTAACGAATCAGCTACCTGGAAACAGTTTTGATATGAGAATAAATATTCTTGTATTTTCTGATCTGTTGTATGTAATATACTTATTTTATTATTAAAAAATCATAAAGCCTCAATCAAAAATTTTATTATAACTAATAATAGGAAGTATATTTGTATCGATTTCGTCAGTATTTCGCACCTAATGTATAAATACATATATCGGCCGTGTTACGTGCTTGTTGTCATTGTAAATATTACGTAATTGTTTATTGAGTGTGTACTCTGTATACCCACGTAGAACTTGTATAATTTGCTTCTGTATTCATAATTACTAGCTATCTTCACATTTGATCCTTTACATAGTAGGTAGAGAGAAAGGGGTATTAAAAAGCACGTTTTGTTTCACAAAAATGCGAATTTAACCGTAAATACACCGATGTCTAACAACTGTAATTAATATGTAGATACATATAATTATTTTATTTTATATTTTTAAACTATCATTTCGAACATTTAATTATACATTATCATCATACCTAGTTGTACGACAATTAGTCCGTTCACAATTCTTGAAAAAATTGCTCTCAGCAATAAGATCTCCTTACTGTGCTTAAAAAATTGTATCCTTACATTTATTGTCTTGCTTATTTCCCTATACTCTGTAATGTAAATAATGTAAACTCATTAAACAGTAGCAAATGTTTCGTAGACACGAGTAAATATTTGAATTTAGAACTCGAAATCGCTGACAGTCCACTTGATGAAAGTGGTAACTGTCAACTTAATATCAACTACCACCATTAACATCAAAGAAACTAGTGTGGCGCCTACGCTATCTCTCATTCGTAGCATTTCTGAAATCTAAGTTTTTTTTATGTAATTTTACTATTAAATCCCATACTTTAAGCCAAAATAGGCACCTAAATACACCTACTTAGTGGTAGGAACATATCTATATGAGTGACTGTAGAATCTCGACTAGTAGCTTCAGAAATAGAGAATAGACCTTCAGCTTCTACACCACTGCTTGTTCGTTTGCTGTGGAGGAGGGGATTATTAGTTCTTAATGGGGTCTAGTAGCCTGGTTACTAGCAATATACCCGATCAGGTCAACCTCCAAGCGGTAATCTCTCGAAACTATGATAGTTAATTCTTAGTGACATTCACAGTCTACAATGGGCTTACTGACCATGGCCGTTTATCATCAGACGGGCTGTCTGCTTGTTTGTTACTTTTGTAGTATAAAAAAAAAAACCGATCTAAATTTATTATCACCTATAATAGAACAGTTAGGGTTACCATTCATATATCAACAATAAAGAATCATCAATGATGATATCCTTTTGGAATTACAAATTTGACATGTTTCCAACCAGTTATGACCGAATAAACACTCATCTCAGCACATTTGAGCAAAGTCTAGAATGTCAATGTCCTGATGATTTTATTGTTTCTCAAACAATTCTGAGATGTATACATTACAATGTTAAATATGTTCTTACTAATACCATAAATGCAAAAGTAACTGTCTGTCTATTTGCTGTCTTTTCGTGAATTTTATTATGAAAATGAATTGGACCTTGGAGAAGGACATAGGATACTTTTGTTGAGAAATAAAACTTAAGGGTGGGGGGGTGAAGTAGAAGATGAAAGTTTGTATGGGAAACCAATCATTTCTTAAGTAGTAAGGGATACAAAACTCATCATTATCATACTTTTGGTTCAAATTAAAGAGTGTTTCTACGTTTTTGAAGTACTAATTCTACGTATATTAAGTTAGTAGGGTCATATGTATACTGTAGTGTCATATAAAATGTGTTGGTTGATGTCGAAAAGCGACTTTACTAGAATCCACTAAATGGTTCCTAAACTACGCAGTGGTGGTATTAAAATTATATAACTAGCTTATAATTAATTTATGGTAAAATTGAAACCACTAGAATCCTTTTAAGATAGTGTTTCATCAGGAAACAGAACTTTGTCTCTAAGAATCATAGAACAAAAACGACAAAGATTATCTATTCTATAAATTAGTATTTATTTGCGATTTAGTCATAGTAAAGTCTCGCCTATATCTTTCTCCATTCCAATAAAGTGTGGTACAAAAGGCAGACTTAATACTGTAAGCATTTTCTACGAGTCAACCTTTGAGATGTGCAGAAATACTCGATGGCGGTTTAAAAAATAAAATTATTTATATTTTAGTATAAGGTGGTCATTACGTATTTTTTGTGTATATATGTTGTAATTTGTGTGCTGTAAATAATGCAAATAAAATTATCTATCTACGTATATATGTAATTTGTATATACAAATATTCATAAAATAAACATAGTATTTATATATTAATACCATAAGTGCAAAACTCATTTTAAAATTTATACTTTTGGTAAGATACAAGAATATGACAATACCATGAGATAATATAAAAAAAGAAAATAAGCAGTATTATTTTTATTATTATGGCAATACCTACTATTCGACCGTCTCAAAGTTTGCCTTGCATGTACACGGAACATAAATACAGAATATGCGGCAGTGGATGGAGCCAAGTTTGCAAATTATATTTACGATCATGCGAAAACTACGGCAATATAGTATCATAATGGATTAAGTAGACTAATTTTGAAAATAATTACACTAATTTATTTGCAAATTCACTGTTATAGTAGGCAATGTTTATAATTTACCTACCATTTCATTTATGGTATATATATATATATATATATATATACTCTTGATAAATTGTAATTTGTCTCACTTTTTCGTAGTAACATTTTTATTGTCGTAATTTATTTGCAAACTACAAACCGATTCTGTCCAAAACGGTGTGCGGTCATTTTGTCTAAATTCGTAGAAATGGAGGCGGTTGGGGTCATTCACATTTCTGATGGTAGCTGTTATTTTTCAAGCGACTTCAAAGAGAGAATCTTGGTCACATCTGAAACAAATTTGGTATTTATTTTACAATGTGCAGGTTTCATTTGCATTTAAATCCCTTTTTTGTGGAGTGAAATTATACTTCTGAAACTTGCTTATCGCGTTGATAATTCTTTTTAAGATATTTAACAACAATATAGTAGTTTTTGTTGCAATTTAGAATGGGATCCAAACTGACGGCCCACCTGATCACCTGATGGAAAGTGGTAACTATCGCCTATACCAGGATTCTCCAAACTTTGACGCCTTAGTACATAATAATTTTTCCAGTATATTCCTGTTATATTTCTGTCTGAATGCTTCTTTAACGCTTCACAGTAATAGTAAAAACAATAAGACATTGGCTATCGCGGATCGGACTGATGGCATTAGTCTTAAGCTGTCACGAGTCGTATTGATGGCACTGGCGGACCGGATTTGGTCCGCGGGCTGCAGTTTGGAGATCCCTGTTCTACAGTACTAAAATATTGTAATAGTAGTGACTTATTTTTATCTTAACTATTAATTGTAATTATTACTAAAGAGGAAAAGATTAGATTTTTTTGCTTGGAATAAAAAAACACTAAAAATACTTGACCAATTTTAAAAATTACCAGAGGGAGACTTTGTACAAAAGTCGATTGCTTGGATACCTCTGTCCCATTCGTGTTTCAACCGTGAAGCAGTTGTGTTTGCATGGCTGTGTTTATTATGAGAATTTACTGGGTACAGAGGAATAACACCTGAGTCCTCAGGAATGGCAACGCATGGGGGGTATCATGGGCGAAACAGTATACTCTGTTATGTCCATGGTACTGCTCATGTGTATAGGCGACGGTTACCACTTTCCATCAGATGGACCGTCAGCTTTTTTGCCATTCAAAGTTGTATATAAAAAAAATCTCTTATCTATAGAAACCTACGTTATCAGTGAGTAACAAGGGTTGAATTTTATAATGTATTTAAAAAAAAATCAGGAATTGCGTTTTTAATATGAGACTATAGTAGTGTTATACGTTCTATGTTATAAAATAAATAATGGCGGTTACAAAATACGAAAAAATGCTAAACTTATTTATCATTAGTAATTCAATACTCTTTTTGTGCCTCTAATACGATATTATTAAAATATATATATAAACACGTAAATTTATGTTCGCGTTCCTTAAAATGTCTATCTAAACGCTTGTATCCAATTCATCTATCTCTAATAATTCCTTATTGACATGCAAATAGTAATTTTAATAGAGATATTCCGCCATCTTGTTTTGGACAGCTTTTTTAACGTTGTAGTGTAGGTATTATAAATTTAGAGAGGAAATGTTGTCAGAATTTTTTAAATCCATTTGATGTTTTTGACCTTTTCGTAAATTTTATTTGGCATACTGATTTACGAGTGTAAATTCTAATCTGGATTATTTATTAACATTTTTAAAGTATTGGAAATAAAATTTAATAGTTGTAAGATTATGTCAATAAAAACAGTAAATTTTGCATAAAATCAATACCGCAATTTTTTCATGAATGGTAATGGAATGGTAACCCATTCTGTGCTATCAGTATACCCTGGCGGAGTACCAGTGAGGAATGATAGATGAGAATGAGACCAGGTCAGTTGGCCTATCGGGGCGATTTTATCAAGAATTAACCACGCTGGTTTCCTGAGGAGACCGCGTGGAGGTCGACTTGATAGGGTATATTGCTAGCAATGCGGCCGCTAGTCCTAGTTACTAACAATCCCTATGGTAGAAAACTTATCTGTTGCAAGAAGAGTCCTTAGAATGAGTACAGAATGGAGATTTCCTTCTTTTAACTTTGATAGCTTACGAGAATATTCACCAAAGAACTAAAGTGACCGATATTTTTTATACTATTATTGTGGTAAACAAGCATACGACCCGTCTGATGGTAAACGGGGTTATCATAGTATATGGACACCTGTAACACCTGTAACACGCGTGCGTTATCATACCTCAAGAAACCTTAATACACCCTTATTGAAAAACTCCATGCTGTAGTTCCAAGTGCATCATTCGAGGTGTCTGCATCATTGCCTGCCTACAAATAATTTGACTCGTGACTTCATTTGTTTCTCATTAACAAATAAAGTGAATACTTATATCTTTTGTCGTAAACGGTGTGTAGGCGGGCAATAAGCCCATTGATATGTACAAATATAACACGTGACATACATACGAAGTAACAAGGTCACATCCGAATTTCCAAAGACAAATTTCCAAATTTTTAATTCACGACTAATGTTTAACGCGACGCGATTACGTGTAAATCAGTAAAGAGAATTGGTGGTCTACCATGAAATGGTTTCCGAATTTTCGGGCTAAATTCGTGTTTTTGTTCATACCGAAATCGACCCAGTAAATGGAGCTTAACATTTCGTTCATCATAAATCCTATCCTAATAGTCCCGTGGAACGATATTATAATATTTTTAATAATTTTAAATGTATTATGTTATGTTATTTTAACATCAAATGGTATTATGTTATTTTAACATCAAATTTCTGTTTCGTTCGTCCCCGAAATTTCGGAAAATATTTCATGGTAGGCCCTCAGGTAAAGTCCCGAACGTGAAATTAAAATACATATGTATGTGCAACAAACAATGCAATATTTTTTTTACTCTGGAAATTGTATAAACTGATGGTTAACGACCTTCTTAATATTTTTTTTTATGTTGTCCAACAAAAGTAATGTCCGCCAGTTTTAATTTCTTAAATACTAAGGGCTATAAGAATAATAAAATATATTTAGAGAATATAGAATAAAACAGTCATACGAAAATTAATTAAAAGTGCTTACGGACAAACATACTTAATAAAGTTAATTTTCATATAAGAATAATGTTTTTCTTATGAGACAGAATGGCAAACACGCCCACCTGATGGACAGTGGTAACCGTCGTCTATACCAATGATTAGCACCATGCCTACAGAGATTATTATAGCACAGCTTTCGACTTATGGGGGAAAAACTGATAGCCCCATCACCTGCTCCCCCTGGAAACTATCGCAGTTAATTCTTGGTGAATTCATCGTATCATGGCAAAATTAATTATTATGATTTCAAAACTAAACTGCTAAACCGATTTTCATAAAAATTTCTATGAGACCAATCTGTAAGTTTATCCTTTCAAATAAAAAAGAATTTTCCAAATCGATTTATAACAGACGGAGTTATAAGGTAAGAAACATTAAGAGAAATACAAACAAATTGAAAGTCTCCTTTTTGAAGTCAGTTAAAAGGAGACCCCCCCCCATTTGACATTGGCAAGTTGAGAGCTCTTTGAGGAAGAGGGGCCTCAAAGAGCTCTCAACTTGCCAATGTGAAACGACGTGACGTCACCAATTCTTGCGTAGGCGCCTAGGGGCGGACAAAGCCTATTGCCTATTCTGTACAGTGATGTCATCCACTGACATATTGAACGATTGTTCATACATACGAGTATTTAGTGAATCGAACTGATAGTTTTTGACAGGTACTATCTCTGAGTGTCAATTAAACTTGCATCTTGCCCTTTATATCTGTGACATCTACATAACTAGACACTATTATCACTTAATTAGCTATTTCCCATGACTTCGCCCACGTGAATCGCTTTATAAAGTACTAGTTTTCACCTGCGACTTTGTCCGCGTGACCGGGATATGTTTACTGAACGGGATAAAAAATATTCTAGGTATATCCTTCTCTATCCCATATAGTAAGTGTAAACTAAATTTTATAGTAATTGATTTAGCCATTAGGTCGCTATTGGGTAATAAACAAACAAACAAACTTTTACATTTATAATATTAGTAAAGAATCATCATCTTCCCACCCTTATCCTAATTATTATTTGGGGTTGCCGTAATGATTTTTATCCATATCGTCATAGTCGTAGAATACTGACGGATCTGACAAAGATTACATATATAGATCCGTCAGTATTCTACGAGTATGACGATATTACAAAAAGATTTGGCTTATAGTTTTACGACCGGCCGCCTGTCTGACGTCGTATTAGTAAAGAGTAATTAATATACGAAAAATACATCCGAGGCGTGCATTCAGGCTCTCGCGTTACAGCCGCTCAAGACTAATGCTCCCGAATGGTTCCGAAACTAGTAGAGCTTTCTCGACCAAATTACACGATCAAATCAAACTGGTAGTTATTATATTGAAACATAATTATGCATTTACAAAACTTTTAACAGTAAAAAAAAAAACAGAAATATAATCCAGCCTCCTCCTTCAAGTAGTCGGATAATAAATGTAAATCTTATCTCATTTAAATAATGATGAATGGAATGTTCATAATAAAAAAAAAAAAACATTTTAACGAACGCAGTGCTTCGATATCTTTAAACTTTCGACAAATGGCGGCGGTCATAAATACAATTTACAAGCAATAATAGCAGCGATACCTCGAGGCGCCGGCGACGTTCAGTGATAATCAATATACATACGTACACAATGATATTATACTTACCTACTTATGCCCACAGCGATCTGATTGACATCAATTTTAGACCCATTAATAGTAGATACAACTTGTTGAAGGAAATTTTAGAAAGAAGCTCTTAAATTGTTTATTGTTGGGATTCTTGTCATTCTTAGTGTATTTTTGGTGTTCGCTTGTAAAATAATTTTACATTTATCATCAGCATCATCATACATACATACATACATACATATCTGTCACGCCTGTCTCCCATTAGGGTAGGCAGAAACAATGGAACGCCAAATGCTTCGATTCAAACAAACCTCTTTCGCGTCTTCCACATTCATCAATCTTTTCATACACGCTTGCCGGTTACGGGTACTTTTAATTTGGCCCTTCTTCAGCACGTCGCCTATTTGGTCAACATACGTCCGTCTAGGGCGGCCCCTACCGACATCTCCATTCATTCTTGCTCGATAAATCTCTTTCGTAATTCTTCTTTCATCCATCCTCTCCAACATCATCATATCAGTCTTTAACATACACCTCTCATAAAAGTGAGAGTTTTCCCAA